GTTTATATTGATAAAGAGGATAGGGAAAGGTCAAGGCTACATGTTAATAATTCTTTGATTCAGCAGATCATCATCCAGAATTTTTACCAACAGAAAAAGTTGTGATTGAAGCTGATTAAAATCTTTTTTCAACGCCAGAAAACCTGCGTCCACCTGCCCGACCTATTGACAAGTCCTTCCGCCTAATGGTCTCTGATGTCTTCAAGGGTGTTGGCACCGGCTTCAATGTAGCTGGACGGGTGGGGTCAGGGTGTGTCCAGCCAGGGGACAAGATCCTTATTGTGCCCCTGGGATCTACTGCAACCATCAAAAGTATGTCTAGTTTTGGCATTAACTGGAGGGTAACAAGATAGCTCTAAAAAATAGTGGACGGAGTCATAAAATAAATAATTACAAAAACAAACATTAGTAGAAGCCATACGTTCTGCAACCATCAAGTCAGACTTTTATGTTTGTTGATGACCTGTGGCTGCCTACCTGAATGCTTAATAGCCTATCAGCTTCAGGTGCATACCTGGTTACATGTTTTTCTTTTGATTAAACTTATTCATCAATTACTAAGCATTAGATGAGATTTTGATGAAAATGAATTGCGCAATACATTATCAAATTCTATTTCTGTAACATTTGTACTAAAGCTGTTGCCTTAAATGAACTGTTGTACAGTCATGACAAGCTAGTGTTACAAAAATAAGGTAACATTGCTAAGCTGATTGTTTTATTTGTTTCAGATGTTTACATTGACGACGTCCCTGTCAACTTGACCCTCAGTGGTGTGGACATGTCCAGTGTTAACATAGGTGATTGTCTCCTGGTTCAGTCTTAGTAGGCCTACATCAGTACAGCTGGTAACACTAGGCCTACATCAGTACAGCTGGTCACACTAGACCTACATCTGGTCTCACTAGACCTACAGCTGGTCACACTAGACCTACATCAGTACACATGGTCACACTAGACCTACATCAGTACAGCTGGTAACACTAGGCCTACAGCTGGTCTCACTAGACCTACATCAGTACAGCTGGTCACACTAGGCCTACATCAGTACAGCTGGTCTCACTAGACCTACAGCTGGTCACACTAGACCTACATCAGTACAGCTGGTCACACTAGGCCTACATCAGTACACATGGTCACACTAGACCTACATCAGTACAGCTGGTCTCACTAGGCCTACATCAGTACAGCTGGTCACACTAGGCCTACAGCTGGTCACACTAGACCTACATCAGTACAGCTGGTCACACTAGGCCTACATCAGTACAGCTGGTCTCACTAGGCCTACATCAGTACAGCTGGTCACACTAGGCCTACAGCTGGTCTCACTAGACCTACAGCTGGTCACACTAGACCTACATCAGTACAGCTGGTCACACTAGGCCTACATCAGTACAGCTGGTCACACTAGGCCTACAGCTGGTCTCACTAGGCCTACATCAGTACACATGGTCACACTAGGCCTACATCAGTACAGCTGGTCACACTAGGCCTACAGCTGGTCTCACTAGGCCTACATCAGTACAGCTGGTCTCAGTAGGTCTACAGCTGGTCACACTAGGCCTACATCAGTAGAGCTGGTCTCACTAGGCCTACATCAGTACAGTTGAGTGGGAACTAGCAACTAAAAAGTCAGATCTGTACAACTAAACAAATAATTCCAAATGTCTTTGTTGCATGCAACTGTTTATGTGATCCCAATAATCCAGCCAAAAGTGCCACAAGAATCCGAGCAAAAATTGCCATCTTCAACATTGATGTACCTCTCACTAAAGGATTCCCTGTGGGTTTTTGTATAAATAAATATAAAGATATATAGTCATTATGGCTATCTGGCAGTAATAAGAACGTAAATATGTTGTGGGAATTAAAAAAAAACACCTATAAAATGACATTAGGGCATGTGCGTAAATTGTAATTAATTATATAGAGATAAATTTATCTCATGTTGCTGCTTGAGATTTTTAAACTTATTTTTCACTACATGCAGGTTGTGGTCCATTATCAAGCAATAAATGAGCCTGCCGTGATTAAAAGACTTTTAAGTCAGTTGAACAGAAGCACAGGAGATATTGTCAAGAGAAAGCCAAGGTGAGTCAGTAAATCTTCACAACTGGCTAGGTTCATTCATTGCTTTTGGGTGGAAATGTAGAATCTTATTTTACTGTTCATAAAAAACATTTGTACAATTAGTAAAATAAGATTTTAAATTTCTCATTTTTGGATTTGGTAGTTGTGAGCTGGTGAAATGTTTACTTGTTATAAATGAGATGAGTTGCTGTTCTTAACTAGTAATAACAATCAATAAGTCTCTAATATTCAAGCCCTCTCCTCTATACTTCATATAGCTATCAGTTTAGCTTGGTGCACTATAATAAATCTCATTATTTATTTTTTATAGCTTGATTGTGAGGGCATATTGCGCTAATGTAATTACATTACCCACATCAGTTGTGCTTTACTGGAATATCTATATACTACTAAAAGTCAAGTTTGTTTACGTGTTTGAATATTTATTTGTTTTTTTGTTTGTTTGTTTGTTTGCCTGATTGACTATCTCGCATGGTTGCACTCATCGTGGAAAGCTGTAAAATAGTATGTAGGTAGAGAAAAATTTTTGTTTTAAGACAGACTGTTAATCACACATTTATTTAAAGACGTTAATTAATTTATTGATTTATTCATATGCAGAGTAACCCATTTTTTTTTTTAAAGTTTAGAACGACCACTACACTCGGCGGGACCGTGACGTCACAGTTTTTTGTTTACTCTTTAGTACAATAAAATGGCGGCGTCTATCGAAGAAAATTGTGTTCCCATTCAAAAGTTTAACGCGTTCTAAATCTAATTTTCTGTCGGTCATACCTTTAACAATACGTCCGTTTGCTGTATTTATTACGTTCCAACACTTATATCAATTTTAAACTGTCTTTTTCATTTAGTTTTACGATAAATTTCTCTAGATCTAAAGATCAGCTGTCGAAGGAAAGTTATGAAGCTAGCCTAGATCTAGTAGATCTATCTAGATCTAGCCTAGATGTAGGTCACTAGACTCAATGTAAATTCTAGATCTAGACTTAATGTAAATTCTACATCTAGAATCTATTTCAGGCCTTAATTATTTTATATAAATCTTTGTTTGGCTAATTTAAGATAAAATTTAATTTGAAAGTTACTACTACTAGACTTAGATCTAGATCTATGCGCGGCGACTCAAAAGTATAGTATAAAAATTCACTTGTGACGTCACGAGTAAATAGCTAAGCTGGTAGCGTAGTCGGCTCTCATGCGGGTGGCACGGGTTCTAGACCAATATGTCGATGAAATTTTTTTTTTCACTTTTTTTTTTAAGATGTGAATGATAAAGTTGCCTATCTGAACTTGGAAAGATACAGGGCAGGTGAAGTAGAGTTCATCTGTTTCTTTGTCCTAAGCATATGAAAGGATAGTGTGGTCAGAGACATGCTCGGCTGGAATCGTTTTTTAAACGATAAATACATGTTGTCTGAGACTTGGCGGGGCACTGGGCAGGTGAAGTAGAGTTGAGTAGGTCACATGTGACGTCAGTATGTGAAGGGATAGTCCGAAATCTGTGTTTTCGGTGTTTTTAAAAGATAAAAAACATATTTTTGAATGTGGGGTCTGTTTTTTGTGACGATAAGTGACACTGCAGTAGCGTAGCGAGGAGGGGGGGGGGGGTGGTAGGGGAGGGGGAAGGGGGACATATGTTGGGGCGCCAAAATGGTTTGGAAAAATAAATTGAAAGGTTGAGGGAGGTTCAAATCGAAAGTTTGAGTGGGGGGGGGGGTGCACATCAAAAGTTTGAGGGGGGGTTCAAATCGAAATCTTGCGGGGGGGGGGGGGGGGGGGTTCAAATCGAAAACTTTGTCCCCGGGCGCCGGGAAGGGTCGCTCTGCCTCTGAGTGACAGACGTGATGCTTTTTGATTGATGACCCCCAAAACCCACAGTTATCCAACGGATGACGGGTATTCTAGTATTTTCTATTTTTTCACAAATAAAACCAATATGATGACTTATCTGTTCTAATCTAAATATCCCAGCATGAAATGTGTATTTTCAGATGTCTAGTAAAAAATACCAGTGCTGTGGTAGAAATTGAAATGGAGCGTCCCATGTGTCTGGAGCTGTACACAGAGTTCAAAGATTTGGGAAGGTTTATGTTGAGGAGTGGGGGGCACACAATAGCTGCAGGCCTGGTGGAGGAGGTCAGTCCAATCTTCAGTCTGTTTGAGTAGATTCAACTTTATAAGCTACTAGTAAATAAAATTTAGACCTCACTTCTTTATCTTACAGAAAGACCCTTTAAAATTTAAAGCTTAAATGAAATAAGGGTTACACTCATTCCATTTTTCTCTCCTCAGTTGATTCAAACCAAAGCTGCACAAAATGGAGTCAGTCAGAGCTAATTAGAATCTAGGCAAATTACCTGTGCATTTAATAAGAGCTTACTGGCTACCTGGGATTATAAAACGAGGTCAACATTGAGTTTCTGGCTGTGAAACTGAAAGCTGTTCATATTTTCACTGTCTGGTCAACTCCTCTAGACTCCTATCAAACGAAGTCATAAAAAAAAACCCCAAAGTAGTTTGGTTTTAAAAACAAACATCTTAAGTATTTTTGGCTTATATTAGGTCATTTGTGTGGCTTATCTCTTTATCAATCTAAACATAACATACTACTATCCCAATGGATTTTTAACCCAACTCCCACTGGCAGTTCTCTGGGCTTATACATTTGAAGAAGAGTAAGATGCTTACAAAATAAGCATGTATTTTAATGCTGTTGTTTTATTGACTGTAAAGGGTGCATGAATGTCCTACCTGGAGACATTTGGTCCTGAAAGTGTTGTTTGCTATTGTTTTAATTGTTTGTGTGACTTGAGGAAATAAACATTTCCAACCTTATGTTTGGTATTTATTTAGAGATCAATGGAAGGTGGCTGAGAGAAAAGAAAATATAAAACATCAATATTATGTGGTTCATGTTTATTTCATATCTACAGACAAAAATATGGATCATAAAATAATTTTAAGAATCTTTAATTTGAATGATACATGAGAATTTCTTTGTGGTAATGATAAGGGGGAAACAATTGCATTGCACAATCACAACATGCACAAGGTTAATAGACATGGCAAAATGTTGACATGAAATAGTTCAAACCAGCTTAGCATTAAACTTCATTCATTCAAAAGTTGAAATAAAATGACCTACACCAAAAACAGCCATCACCATGCTATGCTAAAATAAAACACTATCACATCAAAAATATCCACACATGACATATGAACAGCATTTAAAATCATGGCAATGCAATAAATTCTCACAACTAACATTTTAAAAATGTGTATAACATTGAATGTTCCTGATCTTGCTTTCTAATAAAAATGCATAAGCCTTAAATCAGCTCTAAGTGGTCAGTGAAAGACTTCTATCCTTACATAAACTTATCTACAATAGACAATAGGATACATTACTCATTTAAAACTTCCATTAATCAACTTCAGAAAAATACAATGTGGTTACAAAAAATCTCAACTTTTGACAATAAGTTATGTAAATCAAAGACTCTTGCCATATTAACATAAAATCAGCATGACCATATTTAAAAAAAAAAGTTATACCCATCACCAAACATTGCTAAAATTGTCAGAAAAATATCTGGAAATATAAAATTGCTCTTGCAGCAAGAAGGTGCTGGGGTTGAATAAGTAGTTGTAGGTCATTAGGGTTAGAAGGGGGAGGACTAAGTGTAATGATCAAGAAACATGAAAAAAGTTTATTATGAATGGGATATATTCAACTACCTCAAGTAGCGGCAGAGCTACTACCTTATGATTGAAAAAAAAAACCATGAGCTCTGGTACACATCAGTTTTTTTCTCATGAAATCAAATTATTTGTCCACACTTTAATCATGTGGGAATATTAACTCGAAAAAACAAGTTAGTTTAATAAAAATGTGACACTTTTGATATGAAACTATTGTTATGGACAAAGACATCACAAAGTCATTCATCATTTGCCCTATATATGGTCACAACCACCATGTTAAACAGTATACAAGTACCTGCTTTAAATTTTACTGTTATTTCAATACCAATATTTTAAAACACAAAACAAATGCGTCAACTACTAATTGAATAGTTATTACAAGAAGACCATTTTTTCCCCCTGAAACCATTGAGAGATGTAGCTTCAGCTACCAACAATAAAATATACAATTATTTCAATATAAAAATTTCAGGCATCTTTCATCTCATCTCATGATTATGTAATCAAATCTATTAAAGACTTTTTTAGAAATAGTCCAAGTCATTGTTTTTGACATCCATTCACAACAAATTTATGAAAAACTTATAATTATTTCCCATCATTTAAGTGTCGAGCAATTAAATAGTATATGTTAATTTAAACATTGGAAAACAGGATAATATTTCTGTGCAACTATTTTTTCAAATGAAATCATGTTTGGAAGACTAACCTGGCAAGATTAGACTATCTAAAAAGAAAGTTCATGAAAATGTTCAGAAACCCTGCTGGGTTGGTCATCCATTGGTCCATCAATCAGGTCATGTGTCAATTGTCAAGTGAAAAAAATACTGCATAAAACAGAAGCCTAGGTACCACAAATCATGGGTCATTATGTGGGTCATGATCAACACGTTTTCAGCAGATACAATCTCTCTACTGTTGTGACAATGGTGTGTCAGATTTCATAGCACAATAATAGTTAACTTGGTCAACAAATGTGCACCTTACATATAGTGGTCTAAAGCAAGACATGGATGCACACCAAATACTTACACTTACAGCTAGTATCTGCCAACCACCAACACACATCAAATACTAACAGTAAATAGTATCTGCTAATCACCAACACACATCAGCAAACTGGTTCATGTCAAAGCATAAAAATGTGAAGTTAATTAGCATTTTTCCCATCAAAAATATAATCATTCCAAAACAGCTTAAAAATAATTTCTCGTCAATATATTTTGTAATTAATAAAGTAAGTAGATGAAATAGAGATAAAAACAATCTGTAGTGGAGCTAGAACTTCAGTTTTAGAGGTAGACTCAGAAGACAAAGGAACTATCAAGTTTAATTTGTGCAAAATAATACTTTTAACACTGAGAGAAATAATTTTTTCCTAAGTAGTTTTTTAAATTCATTCATGAAACAAAAATAGTACTTGTAATAAAAATTAATAAATTCTGTATCATAAATGTAAATATAGCTAGCTAGAGGCTCAGCTCCATAGCATTAAAGAACTTTTTAGAACATATTATAAAAACTGAATATTACAAATCTACCATCAAAACCAAAAGTTTGTACATGAACAAACTTGGGAATAAAACTAATCTCCACAACAGAGAAAATGTAACAGTGTAACACATGTAGATACAAACCCTGTATGTATAACAGTAAAGAGAAACAAAATGCTATTGAGGTTTTTGAGGGGTAGGAAGGCAAGGCAAATAAATGAATAAATAAAAAGCAAACAAGTATGATGGACTCAACCAAAAGAATGAAAAGAATGAGGTGAGCAATGGTTATTACACAGCCTTCAAGTAGGCCAGCTGGAAACATGAGCTGTACATAGAGATTTCAGTTCTAAACACAAGTTAGTGCTAACACTACTTCCAACTGGACAAATGGCACAATCATACAATGAATCTCTCACTTATTCTAGTTACAACAGCCTAACATAATAGTTTGCATAAGTAAACTAACAAAATCTATGAGAATGGTTTTAAGTTGTCCGATTCATTTTTGAAGTAAACAAATATTACATTTAAAAACATTTTAAAAATACACTGATTGCGAAGATCTATTTAACAGTTAAATTTAAAGTCTCTCGTTGTAAAATGTAAAAAATATTGATCTCGTAAATAATGTGCAAAATGACTAGATGGTGGTATACCTATTTATCAAAACTAAGATGTCCTTTTTAATCTTTATCATTCCCTACAGTTTTTGAAACTATAACAAAGGTTGCAATCACTATAAAGTAGAAACATACAGCAAAAGATAACATCAACATTATGAAAATCGTCCAAAGAAAGACACAATGAAATGCACAAGTGGATTGTAAATTAAAGTCCATATAAAAATATGCATACCCTTTCTTATTTCTGAAAATTTCATTTTGTTTTTTATCAAAACTGCCTATGTGGTTGAAGATATCACAACATGTCTGTCTGGTGGTTCAAAGCACTCAACAAATAAAAGAGAAAAATCTTACTAGAGTGGACATAAGGTGAGACATTGTTATCCTCATCATTGAGCTCAAGAACATTCCAGTCTTCTCCATTTGACTATTGCATGTTGAAACAGGTGAAAAATGGTAGGCTGGTCATTCTTATCATGTTGCTGTCAGGTTTCATATCACATAGGTAAATTGTTAAAAACATTGAAGGAATGCTGCTTGTTTGACACAACATACACATATTGGGCTTTAGTTGTCCCTTCTAGGCTTCTTTTTCTTACTCTTTGGTGCGGCTTCTTGCCAGGAATCTGTTGAAAAACATTTTGATTGAAGGGAAGTCACACATTTTAGATTCTACTGTGAGACTGATGACTAAAAAGTTTTAAATCTCTTTAGAATAGAAAGCTAAAATGAAGCCAACCTCCTATTTCATCAAAAGACACAGCAGCAGGAACAACTTGTGGTTCAGAAATGGCTGGTTCAGGTGCCACTTCAAGTGCTAAAACAAACAGTTCAATTGTTATTTTATAAGCTTTAGCAACTGATAAAAGTTTTTTTTTTTAAATCTTAATTTTACAGATTATTTGTGTTTATTTAAGAACATCAAAAGTAAATGTATTTTCATTTTTCTGTAAACTTGTATGAAGAATACCTTTGGTAGGTGGATCTGGCTTTTTAACAGGATCTGGCTTTTTAACCACTGCCTTTTTGCTGGGCTCTACCTGCTTGAGCTCAATGTCCACAGACTTTTCAGAGGGAGCCTCCTATAATATTTCAAGACATTAATAAATTTGGATTTTTTTAATGCTTTCATTATACTAGGTGTGAGTTTTTTCAAACCAAAGCTCATATTAATTTTGTATTGTATGCACTAAAAATGAAAATATACAGATGCATAAATTCTAATCAAAATTCAAAAAATTTAAAAATAATATAATAATTGACATTTATTTTTGTGCTATTTTTTTGTACAAAACTAATTCCATCAAGTGTACAGGTACAAAAAACTAGGCTGACTTAGCTATAAATATAGATAGGTTATTTACAAAGTAGGTTAAGTTCTGCATACATTTGTAAATTCATAAATTATTATGGTAAAGCTATTCCTTTACACATGATAATTATTTCATTAGAAAATGTACCTTATTGAACATACTAGAGAAAATATTCTATTATCATCTAATAAATCAACAAAAATTGGATCCTGTCAAGTTTACCCTGAAATTTTAAATACATTCTTTAAATAACACAATATACATAAAAATGAAAGTGCTTTTAAAAATCTGTACCTGATTGTTTTCACTGGTTTTAGATTTTTTCTTTTTGGGGCTCGTCTTGGAAAGCTCAGTATTAGAAGATCCACTGCTTGGTTTTGGCTGCTCAGTTTGGGCTGGAACAGCCTTTGCTTTTTTCCCAGAAGCTGCTGCAGCTGCAGGTTCAGCACTCACAGGTGCAGAGACAGCTTTCTCTGGCTGGGGGCTGACTGGCTCAATGGGGCTTGCTTTGACCTTCTTGGATTTACTGGGACCACTAGGCTTGGCCTGTTCTCCTGACACTGCTGCTGAAGCAGTGGATTTTTTAATGTCTCGGGCTGCTGGTGCAGGGCTAACTTCTTTTTTAACTGACTTTCCAGAGGCAGGAGCTGCACCTTGAGGCAGATTATCAGCAGCAGGAGCAGCTCCGGCTGCTGCATTAACAGTTTTCTTATCTTTCTTAGCCTTCTTTTTTTTATCAACTGGTTCCTGAAAGAATTCACATTTATTGTATGCCTAAAAGGATACCAAAACATGTAAAAAAATCTGTTGTGTTTGCTAAATGTTATCATAGACTTACATCAGGTTGAACAGCACTTGTCTCTATTACACTTGAGGAGGAAGTAATTTCAACTTTTTCATCAACTTTTCCCTGCTATATAAATACATATTACTAGAGCAGACTAATCATGAAAGTTTGACAACAAATACATTACTCTTTGAAACTGTTTTTTATATACTAGAAGATTTTTAAGATTAAAATCTATATTTGATCTAGCAATTTACCCTTTCAATTGGTTAATCTTTCTTCTTCTTCTTTAACTTATTGAATGAAAGAGGGCTTGACTCTTCTGTTTCAATTGAGGTTATAGAAGCAGAAGCAGCTGCTGCGTCTGGTGTTGACATACTCTCTTGCTCATTTTCTACTTCAAATGCAGATTCAGCATGCCCTCCATCTTTCTTATTTGGCTTCTGCTTTTTAGTTTTCTTTGATACCAGTATAGTTGTCCATTCACCTAAAATATATTAAAGCTTACAATTTTACAAATCTGCTCTTAGGTAATGTTTTATAAAATAACATCAAGGCTAAATGTACGGTTCTACCACATGCTTTAATTTACATAGCTTAGCATTCTGCATTAATCAATGTTAGAAAACATTTTTACATATCAAAACAGTAAATCATAATTAAATGACATTTAAAAATACATAACATTTACAAAAATATGTTTAAAAAAAATTGTCTTTAACTATCAATAGTATCAATACAGTTATTAGTTGTGTCTTTACATGGCTACTAACTATCAACATTTTTAATGAATTTAATCAATTCATATCAACTGTCCGAAACTGATGCATCCACAATTAAAATAAGTTTTTACTTTTATTAAAATTACATTATAAAATCTGAAGCATAACTTCAACAAAGAAATTTTAAAAAGCAGAACTTCCAACAAAACTACAACTCTTCAGTTCTGCTAAGACATAATAAACATTTACCATCATCTTCAGTTTCTTTCTTTAGAGGAACAGCTTTTTCTTTTTTCACAACTTCTTCTTTATTTCCAATTAGCTTCTTTGAAAGTTGCTACATGGTGGTATTAGAACAAAAACTTAAAATACTATAAAGTAAACATAACAGTTGTTGCGTTTTTTCATTTGTTTACTGTTAAATTACAACTGCAAAGCAAATTTCTATTTAACTCAAAAATGCAATATAACACTGTTATACAAAGTAATAGTATTTAGATTACATAACTAATTAAGTAGCTTACAAGTAGGTCTAATTTGAATTTATATGAATTTCAAAAAATATAAACCTTTTCTTTTTTGTCAGTTTTAACTTCCTGTTTTGTATCCTTTTTAACTGGTTTAGAAGTATCTGTCTTAGGCTTAGGAGGTGGTGATGGAGTTTTCACTTCTTTAACAACTTTGGGTGTTGCTTTAGGTTCATCATCCACAATGGTTTCATTTAACACTTGTCCATTTATTGGACTTTTCACCTGCAAGTCAAAATGAACCAAATGCTTAAGGTCAACAAAGTGACACACCTATGCTTACAAACCCCCACAAAATTGCATTCTTTTTTTATAACATTCATTTTATGTGTGCATTAATCAGTATCTATTATAATGTACAAAAGCTGTTAAAAACACAAAATAACTCAAACTCAGCTTCTAACAATACTTTTTTAAATTTCAAAGTGTGTTCTCCCACTTTCTGACCATCTCCCCCTCCCTCCGCCAAAATTCTGGAATTGCCTTCAAATGTGAAATTATTTAGGCTTATTTGAGTAAATGATTAATAATTACTCAAGTATAAGCACTACCTCTGATTTACCTGATAGTACACTAGAATTAGATTAGCTATCAGCTTATACTCAAGGGGGTATGTGTTAGACCAGTATCTGATAATTCCCCCCAAAAAAAGACACTTCTTAAAAAAGGGCGGTAAATAGCTGGTAGTGGTAGTCAACTCAATAGAATTATGAATTGTACTGTCAATGCAAACTCAATCCCTAATCCAAGTTATACAAAAGCCTAACTAATTTCTAACCTGATTCAGTGACTGACCTGGACCATAATGGTAATACCAATACCCCAAATTAAGTATGTGCACTGAGTGGAACTGTGTGCTCAAATGGTACTCGAGTCTCGAGTTCAAATCTGGGTTCAAGTCTGTAAAACATTTCAAAGTCAATCCAGCTACGATGGGTAACTGACTCACATTAACAGTTAGCTGTTAAGGCAAGTGAAGGTGGCTGGGCATAGAGCTGACCACACTATCGTCCTTTCATATGCTGAGGTTACATGTCTACTTCTTACACTTATTGAGTATAGGCCAACTATTTAATAAATGTCGGTTATTATTCCAGAATTGTACAGCAGTAAAAAACAGTAAAACCACGGCGCAGTCTGTCGAGCCGTTCCGGGAACCGCAAAAAATACGTAAAGCATCATTTATTTGCCGCCATATTATTTTTAATACATGTTCAAAAATGTGCATGGATTGATTTTAGTTGCATTTTAAATACTGTTTTGCTAATTATTTTGTATTTCTAATTATTTTAAGTGTATGTGCTAATTATTGCTGCTACTAAACATTAATCTAGTTCTTCCTACTAATTTAAACATTAAATCTAATAGTCTTATTTTACAAGATCTCAGGGGTGCCACTCATTTTTTAAGTGAATCCTGAAAATGAATCCCAAAATTTTACCAATCCTGAAACTAAAATTTGAAATTTTTGAAACCCTGAAACTTAATTCCGCGCGGAATTTCAAAATAAAATGGACTATTATTTCATTATTTTTGAGACATTTGATTCACATTATGTTCATTTTACATTCCTTTAAAATGGATTTATTTTCTTTGTAACAAGCTTCAAATAAAAAAAATAATCTTTAAAGGATTGTGCTTACAACAAAATTAGTTTACAATGTTAGTCCCATCTCTAGGCCTACCCCATAATGTGCTATTGTAGAACTCCCCCCCCCCCCAGGCAGCTTTTATAACATAACTATTTAATTTTTTTAGAACTTCCTAGCTTGAGTTAAAGTGTGTAGTCAGCCAACTGTTAAGTAACAAAGATTTTGCTAACCTCTACGTCTTGTTGTTGAATAATAAGCCCACTATATGCAGACCCCTAATAAGATTGTCACTGTATTAAAATACACGGTTGACTTAGTGTAGCTATTCAAGGCTTTAATTATTAACAGCCACAACAAAAACCTTAAACCCTGTTTTCCCAATCAACACTAATGAGGTCATCCTTAAATTGATGTCACGCTTTTTTGATGATTTTTACCTCCCACCTCCCCTCGGTCACATATCATATCGTCACAAAAAGCCAGACCCCACCCTCTAAAATGACGTCACGCCTCAGCCTACACCCCCCCCCCCTAAAAATTGCAGTTGAATTTTTCTTAAAATAAGATATTTTTCCAAAAATCTTGTCTGACCTCTGTCAACATATAGTATTTTAATCAATTCCTATTACACTTTATTGAAACAATATTCTTGACCGCGAAATAACGGCTAAAATTCGATTTCTAACATAGCTTTTGGATAATGCAAAAGTGTGATGTCACACCATCTGAACCCCTCCCCCTCATGACAAAATTACGGACCCCCCTCCCCCTACGAGTGTGACGTCATTTATGAACGACCCCAATGCCCCCACCTTTTATATACATGATGACGTGAAGAAATATCGTGGAAGTTTTAAGTCCATATCGCGGAATAACAGAATTACGTTAATTTTAAAAATAATTTTCTACGCTAGTAATACTCATGTCAGAGATGTAGCCGCCCGACTAAGTGAAAAGCGGATTTTTTTTTACAAGCGGTTCAGAGGGGGCAGTGATAGCGGCTATTTTCTCAGACACGGTACTTCAAGATTTTTTAAACATTTCAATGACGTTTTACCAAAGTAAAAAAAAACAACAATTAGATGTAGACCCTGCTAGATCGTGTAACTAAATTATAGCAGGCCTACATAGTTTGTTTAATGATATAAAACGATGCAGATTTATTTTTTTTTTCTTGAATCTAGAAGTGGGCCCTTATTAAAAATAACCACGTTAAAATTAAACAGCGCTTGTACTTGTAGAACTGCCTCGACCGAGAGACACGACTCAGACTGTGCTTGCGTGGTCTCGTGACGTAGGTCTTACGGTCAGCGCGACCTTGAAGAAGCGGGTTAAGACATGGTAAAAAGTGACGGTAAAGTTGAGTGAAAACAGCACAGTTCTATTTCATACATAAAATAGTCCTCCAAATAGTTTTTTTCTTTTCTTTTGGTAATACCAAATACACAATTTTTTTTTAGCGCAATTTCCATTCTGGAGAATTGCGTTTATTAACTCGTCATTTCTGGGAATGGATGGATGAATGAATGTATGGATGAATGTGTGTCCGCAGCTTTAAGTCGTATCTCCTCCTCAACGAAGCAATATCGATGACTAGTTCCAAAAGCAATTATGTTAAGCAAGTTACGAGGATGAACATAGGCCAAAAAAATTCCGGGTTTCTTTCATGGATTTCCCGGAAAAGCCAAAAAACCTCGAGAAAAAGCAGTTTTTGGCCCATATCTCGGCAACCAGACCACTTAGCGACTTGAAACATGTACCAATCGATTCCTGCCATAATTTAGAACAATATTGCCGAAGAAAGTTTTCAAAAATATCCTTTCGTTCGGTCACAAAATTTTTTTTGAATTAATTAAAATTTGGACCGAATTAGTAGGCATGTTTATCCAACCACATCACACGCGTCATCACGTTCAATAGCTGCGCCATCACGTTCAATGGCTGCGTCATCACGTTCAGTAGCTAGGCGCGCAATAGTTTTTAGTCATGTAACTCTATTGTAAATAAAACGTAAAATACTGAAAAAAAAATTAATAAAAAACGTTTTAATAACTAACCAATGGTTTTACTAACCCTGCTCTTGATTTACGCTACGACAGAGCTATTTTTAGATAACATAAGGAAATTGCGCTAAAATTGTCACTAGACTTTTTAATTACCTTGTTTTTTGATCGGAGCAAAATCTTTCGGTTGTTTTTTTTTTTAAAGACGATCGGCGATGCTAGTAATGGTAGGATTTAGTTGTTTTTATTACACAGCCTAGCGGTATCCCATTGATGACATCACGTAAATAATGCGAGTTTAACCCCAACCCATATCGTCATAAATAGCCACACCACGAATGACTTAAAAAGTTCCTTCTACAGCTTCACCCATCTGATACAGCCGATTAGTAGTTGGTCCTTTGCGCACGCGTGAGATTGTTGCTGACGTCATTTACTATTCATTTTTTTTTCGGAAAAGGCCATTAGCGGGAGTGTTGACGATAAAAACGATTTTTACAATGCCAAAATTTTCAAGCTTAAAACGATCTAAAAAAAAAATTTTAAACTGCAAACCCGGAAATTTTCAAACTCAAATCTTGCGAATCCGGAAAGGGAAAAAAATATGATTCTCGAATCCGGAAATCCGGGATATCCCGGAAAAGTGGCACCCCTGAGATCTAGACGTAGTTGTTGCAACCGCAAATCTTCTGCAAGTTTTTTTTTCTGTGTTTCTTAAAAAAACATTAATTGTTACACTTGAGTTTATTAATAATATTTAGATATACTAGGGCCTAATTGTTGCTAATTTTCTGTCAATTGAACATTAAATTAAGTTAAAACATTAATTTAATGCACTTGACTTTATTACAACAGTCAAATAAACATTGTTTTACAGTAACGAATGTTACCGAAACTCAATAAAATTACCAGATAATTTGTAACGCTATATCATGAGATTACCTACTAAACTACTAAATAACTCAGATTCAACATCTACCAAACTCACTCTCCTTTATTACTTTTGGACTTGTGAATGGTGGGTAATAAAATAAATAGGCCTAGATCTAGGATATTTTAAAAAACCAAGGCATAAGAAGGCTAATTAGTAATTAACTTCAACACTGACACTTGACTTAGGGGTCATCCATAAATGACGTCACGCTATTTTTGACAAATTTTATCTCCCCCCCCTCCAGTCCGTCACAAAAACCCAGAATCCCCCCCCCCTAAAATGATGTCAAACCTCAGCCTACAACCCCCCTCAAAATTGCAATTGAATTTTTTTTAAAACATCAATATTTTTCTAAAATCTTGTCTGAACTCTGTCAACATAGAGTATTTTAATCAATTTATATTACAATTTATTAAAACAGTTTTCTAAAATGCGAAATAAGGTCTAAAATTCGTTTTCTAACATTGCTTTTTTATAATGCAAAAGTGTGATGTCTCGCCATATGATCCCCCCCCCCCTCATCACACACCTTCACAAAATTACAAACCCCCCTCCCCCTTACGAGTATGACATCATTTATGGACGACCCCTTAGAGTTGACTTAGATCTAGATTAGCTAGATCTATTTAGTAACTATTTAATTTAGTATTTTATTTTAACTTTAGAGTTAGACTCTTCTTGGTAAAATCTTAGTTTAGCGTCGTAAATTCGGCCAAAACTAGTAATGTGGGAGAGAGTAAATTAATGAATATGTCATTAAATATGAGTATATTTTCGTATATTTTGATAAAGTATTATAGATAATTGAATAATAGATCACCATTGATGGTTAAATCAATTTAAATATCCTGAAATTAATTTTTATCAACCCTGTTCGAGATAGTAAATTTGCTATTAAAAACAGCAGCCATCTTAAGAAAATGTTATTGAGAGTAGCTTCCCTTTCATTTCTATTCATATGAAAATGTATTTAAATATGATCGTCTTGTTGTATAGTCCGTATTACAAAGCATTTTTTTTTTTAAATGTGTATTTCCTAACAAACAACTTTATTAATTCTAGAAGCATTGTGAGATGCAACTTGTATCCATGTATTAAATCACGTTTTTTTTACTAATGTTTTTTTGATCTTACTATTACTATATAGTTTGCGCTTTTTCTTTATGTTTGAATGTTCATATTTTCATTTCAGGTTTTTCTTTTCATCAATTAATGATTCTATCGTAACTTATGACATTTTTTACTTCTCTTTACCTTAATTAAACCCCAACCTGAGTCATATTTTTGTTGTCAATGTCACAAGTCATAAGGGGTCATCCATAAATGACGTCACACTCGTAGGGGGGTCCGTAATTTTGTGACGATGTGTGATGAGAGGGAGGGGGGGGTTCAGATGTTGCGACGTCACATTTTTGCATTATAAAAAAGCAATGTTAGAAAACTAATTTTAGACGTTATTTTGCGTTTTAGATAACTGTTTTAATAAATTGTAATAGTTTAGACAAGACTTTGGAAAAATATCGATGTTTTAAAAAAAATCAACTGCAATTTTGAGGGGGGTTATAGGTTGAGGTGTGACGTCATTTTAGGGGGGGGGTCTGGCTTTTTGTGACGACGTGTGACGGGGGGAGGGGGGAAGGTAAAAATTGTCAAAAAAGCGTGACGTCATTTATGGATGAACCCTAATGTAAAAAATTACGCTTCGCTCTGCCTTATCTAAGATCTCTAGCCATAATTTTGACAACAATAAATGTTTGTCATCATTTATATATACAGAGAGACAAAATGTATTATCCACCAGCTTCCCTCGTAAAACATCATCTAAAATAATCAGCCACTCCACCCCTTAAGTGCGTGTTGTCATTATGGTCGATCGCAAGTCTCCACCTGCCAGACACATTTTGGTTATCCTTTGTTGTCAAAATGTCAATATCAAGTACCCAAGTGAGTGATATGGGGTTGTCCATAAATGATGTCACATATGATTTTCTACGGGAGCGAGTGAAGATTTGTGACGTCAACTCAGGCGGCTCCGCAATTTATGACGTGTCGGTCTCATGAAAGGAGGTGAATGGGGAAAAATACCTAGGTGGTTGATGGAGAACCTCTATAATGCTTTGTTCAATCAAAATAACGATAAATAAGCATTAGTATACGTATACCTTGCTTAAAACGAATCATCACAAATGTTGCAAGCCTGCTAGTTTAAGACATTTGGCAAAACGGCCTTAACTTAACACATTATCCCCGTCAACAAGGCTTGCCACCAAATGCCTGCCGACGAATAAGCTGCGTCTAATGCGGGGCGTTAGGAATACGGCCATTAGCATGGGCCGCGTTAGAGCACCAGTAGGCTATCGCGCTTTGTAAGATGACGTAAATACTTAAATTCAATTTCGCTAACCTGCGCGAAAATTTAGTAATGTTCCATCGTTTGAGGAAATTTATTTTCTTGGACTTAAATTGAAATATCATGTTGACTGTCTGGCTCTTAATTTTAGAATATAACTTTTAATGTATCAAGATTCAGAACTATAATTTACTTTAATATAAGTGTCATCTTATCGTTTATTGTGGTTTTTATAAAGCGCAGAGCAGCTTCAAAATCGGACGGCCATCCTGTTTTCACCAAGCTTCTTTTGGAGCTTAATATGGGTAGTCTAGTTCTAATCTATACGGTGTGAGCTTAATACATTTTTAAAGGGCCGAAAGTCTCAAGACAGCAAGCTTGCAGAAATAACTACGTACGTTTAAATGGACGAGTGATAGATGTATTAGGGGCTGTTTAATGAACACCAACTTATGTAATCAAATTAAACGTCGCAAAAGCGTCTAAAAGGCAGTGCATGTTGTTTTTTTTCTATAAAATTAGCCTAACGGTCGGCAGTACCGCCACATGACGTCACGTGCGAGCGTTAACTCGGTGACGATGTGCTAAGTGGGGGAATGAAAAAGGTAGGGTTCAAGAAATGCGACTCGGCAAGCTTTTTACATTTCTTGACCCTTCTTAATAGTTCTTTCGTCCCCACTGAGAAAATGGATCACCAATGAATGACGCGTCATACTTCTACAGCTGGTCTTTCTCTCACAACCATCCCCCGTTTTCACGAAAAAAAAAACCTTACTCGTCTCCAAAATCACATCGGTGAGTTCTACTCAACCTCTCCCCACCACAAATCACAATTTCTATCTGAAACAATATGTTCATATGTTTGCTCTGTAATAATGCACGCTGTCATTACTATCTTAAGAGCGACGTCATTTATGAGCGATCTAATATTGATTTGCTTACTGCAAATAAAGTGTTCAAAAGTTCGACCTCCCAAGAATTGTTGTGGTCTTGGATACACACTATTAAGTCTGATAAGGTCTATTAGTAATTCATGTCAACTATATTAAAAAAAAAGAAAAATTACTATACAGGGTGTCATCCATAAAGGATGTCACGCTTTTTTTGACGATTTTTAACCCCCCCCCCTCCCCTCCGTCACACGTCGTCACAAAAAGCCAGACCCCCCCCCTAAAATGACGTAAAACCTCAGCCTACAACCCCCCTCAAAATTGCAGTTGAATTGTTTTTAAACAGCTATATTTTTCCAAAATCTTGTCTGAACTCTGTCAAAATAGAGTATTTTAATCAATTGTTATTACAATGTATTAAAACAGTTTTTTTAAAACGCAAAATAACGTCTGCAATTCGTTTTCTAACATTGTTTTTTTAAAATGCAAAAGTGTGACGTTGCACCATCTGAACCCCACCCCCTCCCCCTCATCACACAACGTCAACTCAACGTCACAAAATTACGGACCCCCTCCCCCCTACGAGTGTGACGTCAATTATGGACGACCACCGGCATATATTAAAACAATACAAAACAATCATATTAAACCACAAAATCAACACAAAAGACATGCGAATAGACAATTTATTGTTTTTGAAACATGGCCGCTGCTTGTATTTACTCATTGTTGTCTCGAACGGGGTAGTTTAAAGTTTATTCCAGGATATTTATGACTGGTTTGGTCTTGGTTTGTGATTTCAGGGCTGCCTACCTCAAAAAAATTTTCCCCGTAACAAGAGCATAGGTTTTTCGTAATTTTCCGTAACTTTCCGTATTTTTTCACATTTTTAAAATACAATGTAAATAAGACCCATATTAATATTATACGATCGTAAAGCTCATCAGCGTAATGATGACAGTCGGCGACTCGTGCTACTTTTTATTTTATGGACTAATAATTAGTTGTTTTTTTTTAAAAAAAAACGCCGTTAAATTCAGAATGTAAGGCGACAATGGAAAATTTCAAAAAGGAATTGTTCTTGCAATGAGTAGTATGACGTATGATATAGGCCAACACTACGGATATCTAAACCAATGTGAACTCAGTGACCCCTCGACTGTGTGTGTCAGGATTTTTTCTCCCGCGAACAAGAAAACGTAAGCGGCCGACGGGTGACGATGTTTAGAATTAGCATATTTCTTGAATATTTTTTTTAAATCTACATTTTATCAATGTAATAGAAGAAAAGAACAATTTTAAAAATATGATCCGTAATTGATCTAGGTGAGCCTAGATCTCGTTGTTTAGTAAAATCTTGTCTTCTCGCACATCTCAAACAAAATGCCTCGATATCTCGCTATTTAGGCATTTAGCCGTAATAATACCGCCTCAGCAAATATGTCTCGCCAGACTGCGCGACCAGACTTTCAATGATTTAGGCCACGCCCTTTTTTTTCCTCTACGGACAACACCGGCTCATGAGGTAACAGACCACTCGCGGGGTCAAAAGTTCACAATATTAACACGACTGCCGCCAGCCATGACATGAGCGGGAAGGGGGAGGGGGGATTGTTACGGAAGAGGCTGAGAACCTTATAACCGGATAACACGCTGAAATACTGAAATATAACTAGCTAAATTAAAATATAAAACTCAGACCGGGAACATAAAGTTAAGTTACCACCAGAAATTTTTTTTTTACACTAAAGTCGATTTTGATCTCTACTGAAATCAAAACCGTAATTTTGCAGCATAATCGTAATTCCGTAACCTGGGTGTCAAAATCGTAAAGTTACGGGCAAAACCGTACAAGTAGGCAGCCCTGTGATTTGTTATTCAATTATTTGTTATATTATGTAAAATATGACATAAATATGGCCAAATGAAAGAAATATTCGTTAGTTACCTTCATCGCACATTACTAGCTACGTTGGAATTTACGACGCTAAACTAAGATTTTACCCTCTTCTTAGTAGAGTTTTTTAGAGTCACTTAGACTGTGTAGATCTAGAATAGGCCTATTTTAAATTTATGGCTTTTTATTAATAAGGAGATACATAGCCCGATAGCAGTAAGAAATTTGGATAGACAAGATCTAGATTCTAGAAAATCTAATCTAAGCATTAGGCTAAACATCTCACATACTTTAGGTTGTTTTGCTCGCCTTTTGTTGCGCTTTTCTTCTTCAAAACTGAAACTCGGAGGCTGAACAGGTGAACGAAAACCGAATGCAAATACAATAAAAGCACAAACTACAACTCCTATAACAGGCATAGCCACACTTGGAGAAACTAGTTCAGTTAACTCCATATTTTTATTTTGTTAAATGCGCTTTGTAAACTAAGAAATCAAAAAAAATATGTGCAGTTTTGCTCAGCCTTCTACTTTTCTCATTCCAACATTAGTTTTGATGCTGACGTCGCTTGTGTGCTACGTCATCAAACATGCTGTATAGGACCTAGTCTAATTAATCTTTTCTATTCTGGCATATTTTTTAAATTGACTATAAACAATACTATTTTAAAATATAACCAGTTAAAAAATATTATAGAAAATTAAAAATAAAAGTAATAAAAAAGTAGTGGTCAATTTGTGACGTAAATAGCATTTTCATCATGGCAGCCATTAGGCCTAAATTAAACTAGATCTAGATCTTCTAGATCTAGATCTAGATCTAGATCTAGATCTAAATTTGTTTTGATAACAACTCACATTGAATGCTGAATCAGTGAATCACTCGTCACGATTCTCAAGCTGCCAGTCGTCCCACTAGTTTGTCATCAATATTAATTTAAAAGATAAAAAAATAGTTCTAGGCCTGTATTATTTTCCTCAGGTAAAGTAATGAATTGTGAGTGTTGTTAGTTGTTAGTGTTAGTAGTAGAGTAAGAGAGTGTTAGACTCAGGACTCAGAGTCAGACTAAGTCACACTCAACTGCGACTGTTACACTGTTGTTAACTTGTTAGACTTTAATTATTTTTTTTATTTACTTTAAAAAAAAATTCTGGGTAATCTATCGTTTTATTTTTATTTATGTACTATATGTAGATCTACGTGAAATCGGCCGAGGCTAGAAATCTAATCTAGTGATGTGAAAAAGGTGACTCAATAAACTTTAGGGTAATCTATCGTTTTGGGTACGTAAAATTGCCCGCGGCTATATTTATGTACGAAAACGTTACCTCATTGTCAAGGCTTTAATAGAAGTATATTGTCATGTGTTTGTGTCAAATATTATAGATAAATGAATAATAAACCTAAATCAATGGCTAAATACATCGATATAGGCCAGAAATTAACTTTAAACAGCAGTGTCTGAGAGCAAGATTTGCTATATAAACAGCAGCCATTTGTAAAATAGAGTGGCTTCCCCCTGAATCTGGCGCTAAAAGCTTATAAAAATAAAACTTAGACAAGATGGCTGCTATAGTAAATGAGCATGGTTGCATCTGTTGGAGACATCGCTAGTCTTCATTTATTACGGAAAAGTTTTAATTCAATTGTTTAAAAACAAGTACATAAATGAATCAAGGAAACATTTTTGAATTTTTTAATACATAAATCTTCCTCAAAATGTGAAATAATTATTAAAATTTAAGGAGTCACCTGTTTTTCACATTACAAATCGCGGGCGATTTTACGTACCCAAAACGATAGATTACCAACTTTAGTAGGTAATTTAATTAATAAATTATTTCACATTTTTAGGAGGATTTATGTTTTGAAAGCTACAAAAATGTTTCAAAGTACCACTCATGTAGATTCTAGATCTAGACTCTAGAGTTAACTAACAATACAATCAACAGCACGTTTAAAGGTGTAAATTATTTATTTTAGCTAGGCCTATTAAAATTGGATTAAGACTTAAGACGTATAAAATACGATTGTAACACGAGCAGTTGCAGGCGATCACATGAGATAGCGATGTCGGCATCGCCGCCATCTTGCTTTAAGAACGGCAACCGGGGAATTTCGCTATTGTAAAATTTCGTCGATTATCTTCCTTATCGAAATACATAGTGAGAAAATATAGGGATTTTAAAGTAATCGATTCAATTTCGTATTCGGGCCAACTTTTCACCAATTTAATGAAATAATGTGTGATTTTAAACTGCTAACTGCATTACTTTTCTCTCTTCCTTCTCCAAGTTATAATATTGCGAAACGTGGTCTAATTTTGTGCGTGTTTCAACGACAACTTTTGATAGAAAGGTGAGTTTATCAAGCTATCTCTTGTATTCTCAAAAATTACATTATGTATATTATAAGTTAATAATGATTTCATCTAATTTGAGGTACGTTTTCTAGTGGTATTTTGACCGAAAAAAGGGTGTTGATTCACCACAATAACGCCATTTTATAATAAAAAAATATGGCGAGACCGGAAAGCCTATAGGGGCGTGGGGGCCGGCGTCGCCTTTATAAATCTTACTTGTTCCTTAATCGTAGAGTTTATTGCAAATGAATGATTGCCTTTTAAAAATAAAAGATGTATAAATATGTTAAAGGCTGTTGAAGAAAGCCAGTGGGTTTTTTTTTTTGCACATCAAGCAAATAACCAATAATAAATTACCACTCAAGAAAAGAAATTATTTTAAGCATATATTTCCTTATCAATCCCTTACTTTATTATGCTACACACTTGCCTCTATTAAAACAATAAATTCTACTTTTACAGTAGTATTAATGTTGATTTCTTTTCCTCTAGATATATGATCAAGAGTATGGATGAGGAAATGAATACTTCAGCAGGTGGTAAATCTACAGGCTCTGGGAGCCCTGATAAGCATTCTGCCAAAGATTTACCAATTCTGATTAATCAGTATTCTGACTTTCGGACAGCAGCTGGCATAAAGCAAGGCCATATAATTCATGTATGGTATGAAAATAAAAAACAAATTAAAAAGGCAGTGCAAGTTTTGGAAGAAATAATACCAGCGTCAAGTAACAGTCATCAACTTTATAATAAAATCAACAGATTATGTGTTAAATTTAGATCTCTTAAGCCACAAGCACAATGGGATAAAATTATAAATTTTATGGAAATGCCATTTCAAGAGCCTGTACCTAAAGAAAAGGGGATTGTCTCTAAGTTAGCACCTGAATTAATAACAACACTAATCCCCCCAAAACAAGCCTCACCTTTAAAACTTAAACAAGACTGTGTAAGTTGTGCATACAAAAGAAAGTCTACAGTACAGTTATTGAAATCAAATAAAAAATTGAAAACTAGTTTAAAATTCTATCAAAATGAACTTCAATCAAATAAAGTTTTTCAAATTAAAGATCTCAATAAAAAAATTAAACGACTCACTGACAGACTCCTCAAACAAGAGAAAAAGAATAGACAGTTGGAAGCAGAGAAAGTAGAGATTAAAAAAAACTTAACTGCAATACGTTTGCAGATTCCATCCAATACAAAATGAAACTGAATCAAGTTGCCAGTTTAAAGAAAAAATTATCAAGAAGAGAAAGAAAAATTGAAGCACTAGAAAATGTGGTCAAGATCAAAAACAAAACCATCAAAAATTTAAAATCAATGGTCAATGATTTAGAATTAATGTATGATAATGCCATCAACATGCAAGAACCCCAAGAAGAGGGACAAACTATTGTTACCAAAGAAGGAAAGCATTATGGTACTTCTATGAGAATTTGTATGTACCAATCTTTGTTGAAAAATGTTTCTGTGTTAGCTGCTGGACAGCTATTACAGTTTTTCCTGGAGCAGGAAGCTGGAATGAAACTTGACTGCGTGCCTCGCAAATCTACAGTGGCTCATATGGCTTATGAAATAGGCATTTAGCTGATCTGCAGGTTGGCGAGGCACTTGCATCCCTTGATGGTGCCACACTGTCATGGGATGCAACCACCATTGATGGTAGTCATGTAAATGAAATCCATATTTCTGCTGCAGGTAAAACTCTTGCTGTTGATGTAAAACCTTTACCTGGTGGTAAAGCTGTAGATTACATAGAACATATTAGTGTTAAGTTAAAAGATATTGTAAACATATATTGTAAATACATAAATCATCCAAATTTAGAGCAGCTGTACAAAACTCTTATATCCACCATTGAATCCACTGTGACAGATAGGGCAGCTGTGAATCATAGTGTTGTAAACCAGCTGAATACTTTGTTACAGACACACCTGCTGGAATTGAATTGCAATGTTCATCCGCTAGATAGTTTTGCTGCTGGTGCCAGAAGAGCATTGGAAAATGATACTGAGATAGGCAACAAGACATTGCATTGTATTTTGAGTATTTCCAAGCTCAGATACAAGCAATCCAGTGGAGACCCTAGCGGGTTCAAGACCTATTTTAGAGAAAAAAATATTCCAGTGGGAGTTTTCCTTTGGTACGTCGGTAACCGGTTGCACATTTTATTCCATTCAGCTGGAATTAAAATTTTATATCTGAAAGAGCTGAAGAAATTTGTTGAATTAGGAGGCACCAACCTTAAAAAAAGCATTAAGGAAGAGCTGGATGACCCTAGGGTTGTTGCTCAATTAATTGCACTTGCGTTAATCGGGAAAACAGTCACAGGGCCATGGATGACTAAATTCTATGCAAATTCAATGAATTTAGACATGGTCCCTGTGATACAAAGCTCTAAAAATGTTTTGGACAGGTTTGCTGCTGAGCCAGAAGAGTTATGTCCCACTGTGAATGTTTTTAATGAACCCATTGATGCAGCTTCAGACATGGTGCTGACAGCAATCATCAACAATATTGAATCCCACAGGGATAAAGTAAAGCAAACTTTGAAGCAAATATTACATGAAATTGTTAAGGTCTTTGACCGCCAGTTTGTTCGATATACCAGTGGCGACCTTTCTAGCCCTACAGTTGAGCAGTTGACACAAGCTTCAACTGCTCCTTCACACAACATGGCAGCTGAGAGAATATTAGGAATGACTGACTATTTATGGCGTCAGCTGGTTTTGTAGATGGAAAGGTGAGAGGATGGACAAATGATACTGTAGGATGGCTTCTGCAACAGGACAAAATGACCCAACATAGATTAGTTTATTTTGCAATGAAAGAGGGGTACAGAGCAAGGGAACTTGCAGCACAAAGGAAGAAGATGATGGAAGCAGTGATGATGCGTCGAATGCTAGAAGCTGGACAGAAACATGAACAATCCAACCGTAAGGCTCTAGAAAAAGGGGTTGCTATGGCTTTGAGTGCTAAAGATCTGAATGCTAGTGTGTTTTCATCTGCGTCTCCTGAAGTTATGGGCCTCATTTCAATGTATATTACTTCAGAAAATCCTATGTCTGAACTGACTGAAACCTATACAGGACATCTACTTAAGCATTTATGGACAGAGGAAGGAGTTGATAAAATGTATTCTGGCAGAGTGGTAAATTTTAAGCAACAGAAGACTAAGACAATGAAATGTACAATTACTTACTGGGGACCTGATGAATTGGAAACTGACAGTGTTGACTATGACATGACAATGACATCTCTAGTCACTGATTTACTGACAGGTGACCTTGTGTTTAGTAGCTAGGATGACAGTAGTAGTCCATGTTGTACAAAGCTTAACTTGGTATAAGTCTCACTTGTTATTGTACTGATGTAAGCTATGTCTACCTTAAAAGTTTATTGTTTTGATGAATATATTAACTTTGCTTTTTGTTTAATTGTGTAAATTTAATTATTTATTGAGAATCATTTAATATAAAACATTTATCCTAATAAGATAATAGTCAGAGATGAGTTGTTTTTTTTTTACTTGCAATGTTATTAATTTGGTGTAGGCTTCCTGAAATGTTAAGTTATTCTACTTGTTGTGTTGCTAATAATAATAGTTTTTAAAGACAACATTCAGTAAATAAAACTCCTGGCTTGCCAATGTGCCTAAGATAAATTGTTCGGTTTAATTTATTAAAAAAAAATTAGTGCCTACTACCTTTTTATTCAATTTGTTCTGCTACTGGCAAGTCTATTAATAATTAAATTAATAAATGCAATTCAAACATGCTGAAGTAAGATCATGCAGAGTTTTAACATTGTACCTTTAAAAACAACTGAGCAGTGCAACTTAGAAATTAGGGCCCATAATAGTCAAAATGTATCCCTTAAACGAATGCTAATTATTCTGCTCCCAGTGAATGACTTAATGATTTCAATTAATATATGTAATTCAAACATGCTGAAGTAAGATCCTGCAAAGTTTAAACATTGTAGTTTTAAAAACAACTGAGCAGTGCAACTTAGAAATTAGGGCCCATAATAGCCGTAATGTATCCCTTAAAGGAATGCTAATTATTCTGCTCCCAGTGAATGACTTAATGATTTCAATTAATATATGTAATTCAAACATGAAGTAAGATCCTGCAAAGTTTAAACATTGTAGTTTTAAAAATAACTGAGCAGTGCTATTTCAAAGTTAGGGGACAGTGATTTTCATGACTTACATACAAAGAAATATAGTGGACATTCACCCATTACGTAAAAAATTCATAAAAAAAAAACTACTGAAGCTAGAAAGAAAAATTTTTCAGTGTTATTCTAGTTACATCAAGCACAATATTTTTGCAATGCTCATACATTTAATTAGCCAATTTTAATTTTTTTAATGGAATGCCTACATGAGAGGGGGGGGGGAGATATCACAACTAGTGAAGCCACTAAAACATGAATATCTCAAATTTTATGCGTAGGAATAAAAAATGACTTATACATACATATTAGGGTAGAATTTTTCGCTGTGTGATCGTGTGTGGAAATCTACTCTAGATTTCTACCTGTTTTTAAATATTTGTATTAAAACTTTTCAGTAGGCCTAGGAAGTAGCCTAAATAGTAGGCCTAAATATAGATTTTCGGTAATCTATCACTTTAGGTACGTAAAATCTGCTGCGGCTAGTAATGTACGAAAAAGTTACCTCATTCTCATATTGTGAAATATGTCAAATATTATAGATAACTGACTTATAAACCAAAATCAATGGCTAAATATATCAATATAGGCCAGAAATTAACTTTAAATAGCAGTGTTTGCAAGCAAGATTTGCTATATAAACAACAGCCATTTGTAAAATAGAGTGGCTTCCCCTGAATCTCGCACTATAATTTACAAAAAAAAACTTAAACGAGATCTGCTATAGTAAATGAGCATGGTTGCATCTGTTGGAAACATAGCTAGTCTTCATTTATTACTGAAAAGTTTTAATTCAACTGTTTAAAAACAGGTAATTAAATGAAACAAGGACACATTTTTGTATTTTTTCAAAACATAAATCCTCATCAAAATGTGAAATAATTATAAAAATTTAAGGAGTCACCTGTTTTTCACATTTCTAGTCGCCGGCGATTTTTACGTACCTAAAACGATAGATTACCAGATTTTCTTACTAAATCTAAAATTTAGGCCTACTCAATTTTCAATTAAATAAAAACCACTGAATGATAGACACACATATTTAATCCATTAGGCACTAATTTTGAAGTTTTTGGTTCGTTTTAAACTAAATTACTTAATTTAATATTTATTGGCACTCACTGCCATGCACGACACTTCTCCATGACAACACTTGCAGGGGTGCCATAATAATAAATAAATGGACTCTACTTCCAAAATAAATAGGCAGTAATATGCACATTATAGTTCTCAGGTGGTTTACTCCAGATTTCTGACTATGTAATTCTTTCATTTAATTTATTTATATTAAAACATTGCTTTCGATACATTTTCATATTTGCGCAGCACACAGTTTTTTGGGGTTAGGGGAGGAAGCCAACAAAAATATACTTTCTCTTTTATTTTTATTCAGTTCAACAAGTTCTAGATCTATATATATTTATAGCTAAACTGCAAAAATATGAACAAAATACAAGTAAAATAACTCAGCTCATTTATTGATGTATGGCCAATGCAAAAAAATTCACTAAAAGTAAAAAAAATATTTGAGCTAGAAACATTTTGTTGTTTTGTTTTTATTAAAGTGTTGCTCATGTTTATTTTCAGGTGAGTTTTCACCTTCTCACAAACCATGGGAGACCCCAACAATCCCAAGCCACTTTTAAAACCAGGCAAAGACAAAGGTGTTTTTGATGTGGCAATAACCAAGTTGCTCAAAGATTTTACCAGGTAATGTTCACTGCTCATTTCTGTGTATAATTTTTTACTTTCTCGTATATACGTAGTATAGAGAAAGTATTGTAATCGTGCAAAAAAAAAAAATCGAGATTTTTACAAATCTCGACGTTTTACACCTCACTGATACGGAAAAACATAATTTTGCAATCTTGTCCGTGTGTGTGTGTCTGTGTGTAAACACGATAACTTGAGTACCGTTACAGCTAGGCTGGTGAAATTTCATATATAAGTATTTTATCAAAATCGTAGATCCGTATCAACTTTTGAGCGAATTCCGATAACCGGAAGTGGTACTTTTTCTACTTTGAAATTTTCAAAAGCCTATAACTTGAGTACTATTTCAGATAGATAAATGAAATTTGATATGTAAGTAAAAGATCTAATTCTCTACCTTCTGTCAAATTTTGTGTAATTTCCGTTGACCGGAAGTACTTATTTACGCTATTTCCGATTTCTCAAAAAACGCATGTAAATTTATAAAGTACTAATAATATTGCGCACTATTATGCGCTTTTTTATTTAGCGTTCACTTGGTGTGCATTTCTTTTTTCTACGAGATTATATTCTATTTTAAGAAATGTTAGTATTTAAAATGGATTAAAAATCATGTCTAGAAGTCTATATCCCTAGTTGCCATCCCCTGTAGTGTTATATTAGAATATTTGAGAAAGTTTAGGGGAGATCACTCCCGGTTTATTTACTAAACAACACAGTTATGCTCCTAATTGCCTGATTAACTCTCTTCAACCTGTTTTAAAACTACACTTGCAACTCTTAAAGCACTTACAATGGTGAAGTTTTTGTTCAATTCCAATTGTTTCTCCACAGTGCTGAACTCTTAACTCAGGAAGCAGAGCCTTCATCTTCTGATGACAATAAAAACTCTAAATTTGATCATGTCATTTCTTCAATGAAATGCTTACATCTGCGCAAACCAAAGCTGGCCAGGTATCAAAGGCAGTGTGTTGTGAGAAAGAAAGGCTTATCAAACACCTTAAACTTAGCTGTTGCAGCTAACAGCGTCCAAAGGCCCATTGTTTGGCCCGCTAGACTTAGCTCGCAGGATAGGAAATCAAGCTCTGCTGTACTCTACCCACCTCGCCTAGACATTGCAGGTACCAAGTCTGCCTTAACTTGTACTCATCAGACCAAACTAGCTGAGAAAAGTTTGACCAACAAAGAACCAAAGTCAGAGCAGAAAATATTTGGCAGCTGTCAATCATCACTCTTGTCCTTCACCAGCCTGTCTGAATCCAGGGCTGAGAAGTGCCAGGAGAAGGGAGATAACTCTCCTGCTGGTGCTAGCTCCAAGTTGCTGACCAAGCGCCACACAACAGGACCACTCCCACCAGCTAAACATGCCAGAACAAGCTGTAATAGAACTGACACCTCTCCACAGAGGTTCTCAGGGTATAGGAGCTCCTCCTCCAGTAGCACAGCCACCTCTTCACAGAACTTCTCAGGGTATAGGAGCTCCTCACCTGGTACCACTGCCACCTCTTCACAGAACTTCTCAGGGTACAGAAGCTCCTCACCTGGTACCACTGCTGCACCAGATGGCCTGGAAAGTTTGTCAGCCCTGTCTGCCCAATTGACTGCCATACAAAGCAGCCAGCCTGATGGTGCCTTTAGCCGCTCATGTTCTCAGGAGATGAGAATGGAAGAAACTAACGTCAACAAACTGGCCAGCTATTTAGAAGATTTCTTGCATATTCCTCGTAAAATGTCATCAATGGCAGAGATGATGTATGCCTGAGTTGTGCAGCTAGATGTTGGGGGGAAAAAAAACAAGCAAATAATGATTACTTAAAACTTTTACTATTTATTTTTTGATTGATTTAAAAATAGTCCAATTGTACGGACTTGACATGTTAGAAAATCTTGTCCAAAAATTGTTCATGATAGTTTTTTTTTTACTCTTGTTATATAAAACATGAATATTGGCCAGTAATTTCTTTATAATTTATAATCATGTTTATTATTAGGGTTGCAGATACTTAGAGTCCAGAGAAATTTTTAGGTGTCAGCCTCAATACATATATGTAAATCTTGTAATTTTGTGCTAGGGGAAAATGTATTTTCAATGTCTGGTGTAGTGAAAATATTGGTAAGTATGAAATGACAGAATAATCTGAATTTGGCCAACTTTGGCATGGACTTCATCTAAACAAAATGTATAACACTTGCAGTAAGAGGGGGGGGGGAGGCACTAGTTGTCTACAGATTTTTTTTACCTACTCTGCAGCCCCTTTATTTTGTTGACTTCAGCATTTACTAAATAACAGTGTCTTTGTTACTTTTGCTCATTAAAGATTTTTGGGTTAGCAACTCTCAACAAATTTGTTTTGTATGGTACAAGAAGTACACACATTCATCCTGCTATGGTGTACAAGTCACGGTCACACCTGCATGTCAGTATCCCTGAACTGTGTACAAGTCACGGTCACACCTGCATGTCAGTATCCCTGAACTGTGTACAGTCACACATGTATGTCAGTATCCCTGAACTGTGTACAAGTCACGGTCACACATGTATGTCAGTATCCCTGAACGTTGTACAAGTCATGGTCATACATGTATGTCAGTATCCCTGAACAGTGTACAAGTCACGGTCACACATATATGTCAGTATTCCTGAACTGTGTACATGTCACGGTCACACATGTATGTCAGTATCCCTGAACTGTGTACAAGTCACTGTCACACATGTATGTCAGTATCCCTGATCTGTGTACATGTCACGGTCACATGTAAGTATCCCTGAACTGTGTACAAGTCATAGTCACACATGTATGTCAGTATCCCTGAACTGTGTACAAGTCACGGTCACACATGTATGTCAGTATCCCTGAAAAGTGTACAAGTCACGGTCACACATGTATGTCAGTATCCCTGAACTGTGTACAAGAAACTTTCATTTATCCCTGACCATAAGAACACATTCATATATCCCAGTTTGGCGTACACGTTTACTCTTGTATACCTGTATGATGTACACGTCAAGTACACATTCGCTTATCCCTGTGTGGTATACAAGTCAAGTTTACTCTTGTATACCTGTATGATGTACACATCAAGTACACATTCGCTTATCCCTGTGTGGTATACAAGTCAAGTTTACTCTTGTATACCTGTATGATGTACACGTCAAGTACACATTCGTTTATCCATGTGTGGTGTACAAGTCAAGTTTACTCTTGTATACCTGTATGATGTACTTATACACATTTAATTCTGCCTGTGTGGTGCACAAGAAACAATGCATGTAACTCTGTTAGTAAAAAAAAATAAAATCCTTATTGAGTGAATCATTTACCAGACATGTTTACAATACTAGTGTTAGCCTAAAATTTCTCCAAACGGAGAATGGAGAAGATAGGATTATTAGGATGTCATTGGTTATTTTATTGATAAACTACTACCCTTGCTACTGGTTATTTGTACATCTTGAAGGCTTGCTCTAGCAAAAGGTTACTCTGCCTCTTTGACTGGAAGTTGACAGTTAATGATTTGTTGTCCAATATTAAAATATGCAAATCTTGTCTTGATTAAAAACATCTGAATATTGGTTCTTGTCTATTTTCTTTCACAAAGTATCCAGGCGTGAAGGGAAGTAACTGTTGTTTTTTTTAAAAAAGATAATTCAGAAGGGAGGTAACTTTGTTAAAACAATACCATACCATTACGATTTAAGTCTCTTTCTTCCTCTCCAATCTCCATCAATTTCTAAATTCTATAGCCCGATTGGACTGGAAGTGCCATGTTATTTGAGAATATATAAGAAAGTTTAGGGGAAATACTACCGACTTTATTAATTCACTTACGGATGGAATTCGGAGATAGGGAATACCAGTGTAACGAAATATGCAAATAGTGAGCATCATATAGGCTGTAGCTTCCAGAAGGACCTTTCAGTAAAGTTGACTAGTTTTGTACTGGCTGACAGTGTTTCTTCCAGACTTTTTTTCTCGGGGGGGGGGGGGGGCTGTTAAAAGTACATATTTTCTATATAAATTCCATTTCGGGGGGGGGGGGGGGGGGGCTCTTCCCCACCGAAGAGATGCCTGACTGGAAGAAACTGCTGTGGGATGCCCTCATTTGTGTGCACTGGCTCTCTGATGCTGGGCCGCGGCATGTTCCAGTTACAACGGAAAGATGGAGAGTATGCTTTCATTATGTTCTTTAGCATTCTAAACATTTTGCTAGCTTATGTAATAAGGCCTATGTTATTTGCCAAAGTTACTTAGATTACATATGCACTAACAGTTTTTTAAATTAATTTAAATATGAGAAAAGAATGCGAAAAAATGTAAAGAAAAATAACATTTGCAAAAAACTCGGCTGGTGCAAATGATAGGACAGTTTATCGCTTTAGTACAACATAAAATATGGGAATTAAAATACCGCGTATGTGATTCAATGGTACAGTATATACTTAAATATGTGGAGAAAATTACGTTAACATAATAAAACAATAAAAACCCTACCAACTGACACCTTAACGTAAATTATCACGCTGAAACCAAGGAAAAACTACTGCAGTAGCTTTAGCAATAAAGCTGATGATTTTTAAAGGCCAAGGAAATATTAAAATTAAAATGTTTGAGGTGTATAATATATATATATATATATATATATATATATATATATATATATATATATATATATATATATATATATATATATATATATATATATATATATATATATATGCTACTTGACAACGCCACTGGTTTCAATTTCCTCTGATTGTTTGGCTCCAGTAAAGGACAGGCCCAAGAAAAAAAAAAGGCCGGCTTCCACTATAATGTTTGAAGGTGGGTATTGGTCCACACCAGTAGCGTACGCAGGGGGGGGGGGGGAGCAGGGGGAGCGGCCGCTCCCCCTCTGGCCATTTTCAGCAAAGTGGCGCCTTTTTGGAAACTTTTTAAACTCAAAGTTTTAAACACTGATATTTGTTAAAAAATATTTTTGGTCGGCACATCTATGTAAATCACAAGATTTCTTTTCATGCAGCAATTAAGCATTAATGTGCTAGGCTAGTAGTGTCTACGTTTACAACACGTATTAACAGCTGCATCAGTTTGCCATTCTAAAAATAACCATTACGATCCATTGCAATGTTTAAAAAACCTCTACGGTAGTACCACTTGGCAAGAGGGGTGTTAAATTTAAGGCAACTGTATAATGTATTTGCTTACGAATAATTGAATTAGAAAATGTTATACATAAAACTTCACACATAATTACTTTATATATAGAGTTTGAATCGTGTGATTAATTTAAAAAAAAATTACAATACAGAAACAAATACAACTGATGTGGCATCTATATACTACTAAAAGTCAACTTTGTTTACATGTTTGAATATTTATTTGTTTGCCTGATCGAAAATTGTGATATGTTCGACTCTATCTGGAAAGCTGTAAAATGGTATGCAGGTAGAGAATAATTTTTTAATGCAGACAGACTGTTGATCACAAATTTATTTAAAGACGTTAATTAATTTATTGATTTATTCCTAGGCAGAATAACCCATTTTTTTTTAAAATGTTAAAACCTTGACTAAACTTTGTGGGAATAGTGACGTCACAGGTTTTTGTTTACTCTTTAGTACAATAAAATGGCGGCGTCTATTGAAGAAAATTGTGTTCCCATTCAAAAGTTTAACGCGTTCTAAATCTAATTTTCTGTCGGTCATAACTTTAACAATACGTCCGTTTGCTGTATTTATTACGTCCCAACACTTATATCAATTTTCAACTGTCTTTTTCATTTAGTTTTACGATAAATTTCTCTAGATCTAAAGATCAGCTATCGAAGGAAATTTATGAATCTAGCCTAGATCTAGATCTAGCCTAGATGTAGGTCACTAGATTCAATGTAAATTCTACATCTAGAATCTATTTCAGGCCTTAATTATTTTATATAAATCTTTGTTTGGCTTATTTAAGATAAAATTTAATTTGAAAGTTAGTACTACTAGACTTATTTTTAGATCTAGATCTAGAATCTATACGCGTAAATCAAGTTGCATAAGGAGACACATAGTATAGTATAAAAATTCACTTGTGACGTCACGAGTAAATAGCTAAAATGGTAGCATAGTCAGCTCTCATGCAGGAGGCACGGGTTCTAGACCAATATGTCAATGAAATTTTTTTTTTCAATTTTTTTTTTTAGATGTGAATGATAACGTTGCCTATCTGAACTTGGCAAGATACAGGGCAGGTGAAGTAGAGTTCATCTGTTTCTTTGTCCTAAGCATATGAAAGGATAGTGTGGTCAGATACATGCTCGGCTGGAATTGTTTTTTAAACGATAAAAACATGTTGTCTGAGACTTGGCAGGACACTGGGCAGGTGAAGTAGAGTTGAGTAGGTCACCTGTGACGTCAGTTTATGAAGGGATAGTCCGAAATCGGTGTTTTCGGTGTTTTTAAAAGATAAAAAACATATATTTGAATGTGGGGTCTGTTTTTTGTGACGATAAGTGACACTGCAGTAGCGTACCGAGGAGGGGGGGGGGGACGGTAGGGGAGGGGAGGCGGGGGGTGGGGAGGGGAGGCGGGGGGTGGGGAGGGGAGGCGGGGGGGGAAGGGGGGGTGGGGAGGTGGAGGGGGGAAGGGGGGGGGGGACATATGTTGGGGCGCCAAAATGGTTTGGAAAAATAAATTGATAGGTTGAGGGGGGTTCAAATCGAAAGTTTGAGTGGGGGGGGGGGGGTGCACATCAAAAGTTTGAGGGGGGGAGGGGTTCAAATCGAAAACTTTGTCCCCGGGCGCCGGGAAGGGTCGCTATGCCTCTGAGTGACAGACGTGATGTTTTTTGATGGATGACCCCCGAAACCCACAGTTATCCAACGGATGACGGGTATTCTAGTCTCTATTTAAATTTACTTATGAGCAAACTGCGTAGTGGTGGGGAAATTTTGACAAGTAGTAGTATTCTTACAGTTTGGGCGATAGTGATTACGATTACTAATTATATGAAACAGTTACAACCCCCTCCCCCATGGACCCCTCTGTAAAAGAAATATTGTCATAATACCACTGCTACTTATTTAAATCTATTTCTGTAATATATATTTGTGTAATATATTTGTGTAATATATATTTGTGTAATATATATGTATGTTTAGAACAGTCATCTAAAAACTTACGCTATGTTCACTCTGAGTTGGTTATCTCCCCCCCCCCCCCACCTCACCACCACAATTGTGTAGAGCGACATTAATGTCACACCTAGGTATACACTGGGTTGGATAATTGACCTAAAGTGAACGGACAGTGGTGAATGAAGTTGAATCCACCCCCCCCAACCCACCCCGAACGGATGTTAAGTACATGTAGAAAAACATGTAATGATGTACCACAGTACCATGCCGCCAGACAATTAGCTTTTTAAACGTAAAGCTCTATGAATATTGTTTTTGCAATTACCAGTAAAAAAGTGTGTGATCAATACAGCGATCTAACCCATACCTATCACTATGTTAAAACATGATATTTTTTTTAACACAAAGAAGCAGTAGTTAATTAAAATATAGGATCTTAACTAAAAAACCGAATTTTATTAAAACTTAGGCTGTTATTCCGAATGTTTTTTTACTCTAGTGTAAAAGCGTGCTTTTATACCAACTCTGATTTTAAAAAAATTCATTAAGCTGTAATACATTAGCATTTATGATGACGATATATTAAATTCTGATTATAGACAAAAACATTTTGTAAACTTGAATAGTGTTAAGCAATTTCATTATATTCTAAAGTCATTATTTATTTGTTTTGATATTTATAATTAAATGTGTAGATATATACATATTTATATTAGGAGAGTGATTATTTCCCCTATTTCACTTGTCTTTTTAAATAATTTCCCAGGAATTATTATGTAAGAATTTTTGTTACAAGAATTACAAAACAAATTGTGTTACGTTAATTGTTTTTGGTTGTAGTGTGTATATATATATATATATATTCTATAGATTGATACAATTTTTGTTTTGTCGGCCTTGTCTTTTTCTTATTTCTTCAGAGTGCTACTTTCAATTTATTTTACATCATAGCGAAGTAATGACATACAGCTAGTATATATATATATATATATATATATATATATATATATATATATATATATATATATATATATATATATATATATATATATATATATATATATATATATATATATATATATATATATATATATATATATATATATATATATATATATATATATATATATATATATATATATATATATATATATATATATATATATATATATATATATATATATATATATATATATATAATACACGTATATAGAACGTGTTAAAAATTCGGCGCCTTTTTTTGCGTTTTTTGCTCTTTTCGCTCCCCCTACAACGAAAACCTGGATACGCCTCTGGTCCACACCTGACCACGTAATGAGTGCCCTAAGTCCCATGGGCCCCCGGGTAAATCTCAGACAGGGCCCCCTCGCTATGTTTGTCCCATTCTCCCGACCAACCAGCCCTCAGCCCCCCCCCCCCCCCCCCCCCCACACACACCCTCCATGAGTCTG